AAATGCTGAGATGGTTCCCAAGTTCCAAGTTGCCACTGCAAGCTTCTCATGCAGCCCTCCCTATTTAAATTAATAGTTCGTCTGAATAATATTTAATAATTCAGTCCGTACCGCGAAGAAAACACCTCACTTCACCATTAAAAAGATCGACTAGTTGACGCTGTTTAACTAATAATCGCTGTTTACAGTGAGAATCATACGAAACAAATAAGTACACTCAAATCTGTGTCGCGAAATTAAAATAAGACTATGGCTTACGATCTGTTGAGAAAGGATTTTCTATTTTGAAAAGAAAATAAGAAGAAGAAATGTTACTCCCCTGTAGCATTGCATTACGAACGCGTCAGACACGGAGTTCGTGTTTGTTTCATTTGAGAGCAATCCTTTATAACACTGTGACACCTAACTAAACACGATGCTTCTCAAAAAATAAGTGTCTTAACTGCGTGTGAAGTGGACATCAAACAATTTTGTACTAGTCTATTTAAAACAGTTCTTGACAATTCTCTTATCCATCGAAAATGAACCTCGCAAATGTTAAGAACGGATTCTGATAACATTTCACCTTGTATAAAATATATATTTTATTTTAATATTTTCCGTCAAATCACAATTTTAATAAGATAATAAAATATATATTTTATAATTTTGTAAATCGATCATTCGATGCGGAACGTGAAATGTTATTTTAAATATTTTATATTTTATTATCTTATTAAAATTGTGATTTGACGGAAAATATTAAAATATTAACCTAATTCACAATATGACGCAACTATACTACCTTGTATAAAATATGTCTCAATAATTTTTGTAGCTGTGTTGAAAATTTTTGTGCAATCTAAACTTCGATTTTTTTCTTCTCTGTGCCTCAAAACATAAAGAATTTTGATTTTTTAAAGTTTTCTTTCTACTCAGTAAAAAAATTCAATATCTCACGGTGGCGAACACGAAGCTGATGATGGAGGCAGCAGGGACCTCGTAAACTTCTACCAGACTACACGGCAGTACGATCCAGAAGCCAGCCATCTTCAAATATTTTGTTCTTTACTATTGTTCTGGTTTTCGGGTCATGACATTTAAAACGGATGAACATGCCAAGTAATTCCTCTGTCATTCTAATCCACGCCATTTTACTGGGATTTTATTTGGACTGAGAATTAACACACTGCTCCTTTGTGTTCACTGATTTTCAGCTGTTAATTTCTTGTAGGACCTTGGTAGACCCAAATCTCGTTCATTCTTACCAACCTACAATAGCGAGTGTTCGAAAAATTTCGCCTTCTCCAACATTCAGATTAAAAGCAAAAGTCAGGGGGCCCTTAAAATGAAAATGTATATGAAAAGTCTATTTCCCCCCCTTTTCGATTGTTAATCTAATCTAATCATGTCAACCCTTACAAATATCATAACAAGCACGTACATAAATTTCTTTGAATTTCACATTTTACGAGAATCATCTCACTACCTCGTAGCAAAAATGTAGGGTTTTGCACACAGACACGAAACACATAACTCTATAATCTACCAACATATTAATCTGATGGATGAATCACCGAGGTGAAAAACCTCGTAACTTTTGGTGCATAAACTGTCTTCATAAAAAAAAACCTGCCTAGAGAAGCACGATGTACTCCATTTACCAGTTTATACTTGTTATAAAAGCATTACTTCAAAGCTCGTCTTAATCTTTCACGGAGAGTAATTACTGAAACTTGTTTAATCAGAATACATTAATTATATTACTTTTAACAGACGAAAGCATTTACTGATGGATCATTCAAACAAATGTTAAAAGTTTTTTTTTAAATTTTGCTTCTAAAAAAATACGTCAGATTCTAAATTCACATTCTTTCAGAAATTTCTTGAAAACGATACAATATTCATGACATAAAACGTTTATTGTTTTGTGTCAACTTAATTTCAACAAACAATAAAACACAGAATTACGTTCGGTTTAATTTTGTTTCGTATAATTTTCACTGCTAACAGCGATTATTTCTTTAAACAGAATTTTCCACTCAATCTTTGCAATGGTGAAGTGCTGTGTTTTCTATGCGGTACGGACTGAATTCTTAAATAATATTTAGACGATTTTCGGCTTCAAGGGGGTTCGTCTAGGTGGGACATATGATACAGAGTCGAGTTGACCTGATCAATTTAGTGTATCCTCCACTCCGATACGAATCGGATATCCCCACGTTCTTTCACCTCAACAGAAAAGAACATGCTACTCGCGATGTTGTTGCAAGAGATTAATGGGATGCAACATATAAAAGAATGTGTTGTCTGCTGTCATATACCGGGATGCGAGCGCCTCGCGCGGCCGGCGACCGAGCTAACAAGATTACAAATGTTGGTTCGCGAAGCCGTCTTCCGGCAGTCTTGCATTGGGCTTTGCGGTAGGTGAACGTTCGTTAGACAAAGCTTATTCATACAAACAACATTTTTCGCCAGATTTTAAAGTCATAGTTAAACATTTAGTGACCTAAATTTAATGATAACTGCATTTCTCCGTTTAAAATTCAGTGACCCAAGTTTTATAACTGAATTTATTTATAATATTAACAATCATTGACAGGTTAAAACCACGAAACTGACGTCTGGGTAATAATTTCAAAAATCATGAACTAGAAACGATAAAATAAATGAACGTGGTTAGGTGAATCACGTGTTGCAAATCGATAGTGACATCTCGTAATATCTTTATCGATTAATTTCAATCCTAGTAAAATGATCGATACCGTAGTTTCATGTAAATACTGCAGACGTGCACCAACGTGAAATAGAGTGGTGATTAAAACGGGGAAGTACAAAATTAATTGGAAAGTGGTGGTTAAAACGGGGAAGTACAAAATTAATTGTGAAACTGAGTGAAATTATTACCTTGTGTTGACAGTACAGTGACTTTAAGAACATTTATGCCAGGAATACAGAAATATAGCACTATTAATCATGATTATTTTGAATGTATAATCCCAGATACTTAATGTACAGATCTGAAATATTGAAACAAGTCGCACGCGTTGTAAGACGAGTATAAAGTGCTGTTTGATGTAACATTCATTTAGCAACGATTGATATATTAGGTACAATCACTGCTCGATTAAAATACAGATCATTTTCGGATTGCGTATTGAAATCAAGATAAAGATCGTTATATCCTAGTGGCATCTGTGAAGAAAACAATGAGTATATTACTTGGTAAAACAGCTAAGAACGGGATGGGAGATGAGGTTCTGTTGACTAACAAAACCAAATCTGGCGAAGAAGAGACGCGAGCGTTCTTAAACTTCACTTCCTCACGAGATGACATTGACAGCAGATCTTCTGCGAACTCTGCAGAGCAAGGTAAGTGATAATCTCAATATTTGTTATGTAAAAAAAAAACCAACTCGTTATTCAGCAGCTACAATTCTTACGTAATAAGTGATGCAAAGATATTAAAAATGAAACTCACCACTCTGGCACGTAATTTAAGACCACAGTCATACGTGTTATGACGTTTGTAACACTGACGGAGTTGGCATTACAATGCAACTGTCATTGCGACCACGGGAACTGCAGAAAAATATGGGCCATTTCTTGCCATTACATTCGGTCTAGAAGAATCGAATCTTTGAAGCCCGAAACTCATTTAAATAGGATTTAAGAATTCAGTCCGTACCGCGAAGAAAACACAAAACTTCACCATTACAAAGATCAACTGGTTAATCCTTTGAAGCCGAAGCTCGTATAAATATTACGTAAGAATTCAGTCCGTACCGCGAAGAAAACACAAAACTTCACCATTACAAAGATCAACTTGTTAACGCTGTTTAAGAAAATTATCGCTGTTTAAACTAAAACTCATTCGAAACAAAATGCAGACTTATTAATTGTTAAATCAGGTGGGGAATATAATTACCACTAGTCTTTAAAAAAAAAAGGTCGAATCAGATGGTACATATCGATTAAAACTGTTCTCTATATTCGAAGACCAAGGTACCAGGAATATTTCGCAGCTGCACCTAAGTTGATTGTTAAGGCTTATTAACAGATTATGTAAAGCCAAATGTAAGGAGAGATGGCAGAATGATCTGTCGCATTTATTCTACATTAAGTTTGTTCTGAATTTTCCTGAGGGAACGGAGGAAAACCACGAAGAAATACATTAGGAAAATCAGTCTCCCGACTGTGAGAATTGAATACAAGTTAGTCCTGTCTCCATGGGGCTAATCATGCTGTAAGTGTTTTATTATTGTATTTCTGGAAAGATTCTCTAAAAGTACTTTTGTGATAACAGGACTTTGCATCGTTAATGTTTGTATAACGGAAGGCAGATATGCTAAATTTGCTTATACCATCTGTGATAATTCGAACACGTCTATTTATTTTGTTAGATCAAACTGTTACAGGGGATTTTGACCTCGGTTCCAGAAACATTTTGAATGTTTCTGTATTTATTCATTTTGTTATAATTAAAGACACTCACAATAGCTCAGATTGTATTCCTTATACGTCAACATAATTAATTTATTTGAAATGATGAGGAGAGAAGCGTCAGTATCCTGTTTTTAAGGTTTTATCCGGCATTTGCCTTGGAAGGACTGAGTAAAAAAATGAAAAATCTCAATCAAGACAGACAGCCTCCGTACCGAGATTTGAAACAGTGACCTTTGGAATACGAAGCAGGAGTGCCAACCATCGATCGCAAATTTCGTGTAATTTTAGGTTGTCTCCGAGTGCAGTATAACGTTGAACCTGTGATGTGAAGGTAAGTTCCTTCAGCAGAGATTTTCTGTTTCCAAATGTACTCAGCCAGATTAGAAGAATCGAGAGAAGACGCCGATATGATACAGAGAATTCTATAAAATAACTTCTGAGGCTTTGCGTGTGTCCATACACATAACTGAACGTCGTGTTCGAGTGGTGACCACTCCTTCGTATTCGAGAGGTCCCCGGTTCGTATCTCAGCGTAGGTACCGACAATCCTGACACGCTTTCCGCCATCTTATTCAGTTCCTCCATGCACCAGCCGGGAGAGTACCTTAAAATTAGACCACGGCCACTTCCTTCCACATACTTTACAATTAATTATTCACCAATCGTCCTATCTTCTGCAATCTGAGGTGGTGTTGTCCATCTGTTATTTAATTTGCGCAGTAGACCCATATTTCATTCGCATAGCTTCTGAAAATTCTTTTATTTTGTCTAATTTAGAACATACCTTGTCAATTTTCCTTCAAATATAAAGCCCGATGCTCAAATTTTACTCACATTGTCTTCATTTTGACCAAAATTCCTGCTTGTAATATCCCTCATAACCATCTCATCTCATTTGACGCTAAATATCTTCAGTAACAGATTCAGCACTGTTAAATTATCGATACAGTCCTCTGCGAATGTTGGTGTGTAAATGTATAACCAACTGGAGCTTTTTAAAAATGATAATTCCCATACAAATAAGCTTAATGCATAAAAAATTCTGTATTTGCCTAGGAGACAGTGAGCATATTAAGAAAAACTTTAGGTACTGAACGTATGGAAAATTCCTCGTGCCGAAATAGTCCCACGTTTCACTGTTTTATCAGAATCTGTTCCGAGGCCAGTACAATACAGAGTTCAACCACGTCATGGGGTCGCCACAAAAACAATGTTCTTACGGTATCTTGAGTAAACGGATGTGGCTAGCTGGGAGATGCAAGAACAAGTGGCGCGCGAAATACTCGTGCGTGGTAACTTATTTCCCTGCAGGAATATTCACTCCGTTCCTGCATTCGCCTTGCGTCTGCAAGCCAGACACAGTTAATAAATTTGACGGACGTATTTAATTAGGATCTTCGACATTTACAATCGAACACAAATGAAGGAACAAATTGGCAATATCTTGATGAAGACGTTCATTGCCGTGTTCACAAGAGCCCGACACTGGTCCCCATACTGAGTCAGATGAACCCAATCCACACACACACCAATCCAGTATCCCTAAGAGCGATTTTAATATTAACCCTCCATCTATGCCGAGGTCCTCCGAGGTGTCTCTTCCATCCAGTCTTCGTCCCAGTCATTCTTTCTCATATTCTTGGTTTCTGAGAGGATAATTCAGAAGTGGTACCGAAGTAATATTTTGTCGGCCCGCAGGCGTCTGTCGAAGAGGATTGTTCTGTGGGCGCAACTCCTGGAACTGTTTGACGGCGTGCCTCCTAGCATCCATGGCCCTGCTCGGCGTTTCCGTCCTGGTGCTAGAATTGTACCGTGGTAGCGAAGTAGTGGCGCTATGCTCCCAACTCGACGCACTGCGTCGAGAGGTCGAAGGCCTCAAGCAACATGTTCTTGAGGACGACCTTCTCGAGCAACTGAAAGCCTTCGAGGACGAGGTGAGTATTTTATAGACAATATCTAAAAAGTTCCGTCCTGTTGATGGTGTTTCTCCGGAACACCTGCGAGTCTACACGGCGTCAGAATCCGTAAGAGCTTCGACGTCTTCAATGTCGTGAGAAAATCTAAGTCTCACGTTCTTGGAGTTTTTTTTTTGAAGTTAACGCCACACTTCAAACCAATTTGACATTTCGGTCGCGTTAAAATAATCTGAGTCGATTAAAATCGCTCTATCAGTCCAACTGACAAGGGTAATAGAAGATATTTTTGCAACTTTTAGTTCTGAACGCGCTCATAAAAGTTTGCGAGGATGACCTAAGTCAACCCTTTGAAACCGAAGCTCGTCTAAACCAGTGGTATTTAACCTTTTTTGTTCGCGTACCCCCAGATATAATTTCTCTTCAACTTTGTACCCCCAAAGTTGTTGGTGTATAATTCAAGTTATAAATAGTATATAATCTACATCTAAAATAAATTAAATAAATTACATTACTGATTATTCAGTGTTTATCATAAAATAATATATATTCTTTTAAATTTCACGTACCCCCTAAGATATCTTCGCGTACCCCAGGTTGAATACCACTGGTCTAAACAATATTTATTCAGTCCGTACCGCAAAGAAAACACAACTCTTCACCATTAGAAAGATCAACCGGTTAACGCTGTTTAAGGAAACGATAGGTTGACAGCATGAACCATATGAATCTTATAAACAGGCCACAGAATATCAGAGCGTTGTATGGTTCGATTTGACATTAAAGGGTTAAGATGAGGTACAAATCTATGCGTATTTAAATAATGAAACTATTTGGAATCAGAATTACAAGCCAATCAAATCAATATGTTAAATGCTTCAGTGGCTGACTTCGTATGCTTCATATTACACAGCAGCCGAGCAAGATTAAATGCTTAGACAGTAAACGTAATGGTGTCTACTCTGCGTCTCTCTTCAAGCAGCTAACTAATTGAACAAGTGAGCCCGAAGGTCAAACATATACTTCGTAATCTTTTCTCGAGAATGGGGAACACTGCATGGGCGGTTCCAGTCTTGTCCACGACAATATTTTCACAAATGCTTTTAGGCGGATACAGGGAAATTGAAGTCCGCCATAAATAAAACCGCTGTATCACGTTTTAAAAATTCTCTACCATTCATAACATTTAGTTGTTGTAAAAATAACTTTCAATTTTAATAATTAACCCTTTAAAGTCGAATCTCGTGTAAATATTATTTAAGAATTCAGTCCGTACCGCAAAGAAAACAAATCTTCACCATTACAAAGATCAACTTGTTAATGTCGTTTAAGGAAATTATCACTGTTTATAGCATGATAATAAACATCATAATTCACTCTTCAATAAACATTAGGACGATCAAATCAAGGGGTGTGTGATAAACAGGACATGAATAAAGTACACACACTTCTGGTTGGAAAGCTTGAAGGGTGGAGCCGACTAGGAAGACCTAGTGTATGTGGAGGGATAATATTAAAATTGGAAAATAAATTTTAATTGCGTAGATTGAATTCATCTGGCTTTAGGATGGGGCAGATGGCGGGCTCTTGTGAATACGGTAATGAACCTTTGGGTTATATAAAAGGCAATGAATTAATTGATTAGCTGAGCGTACTATCACCTCAAGGACCATGCACAATGGAGTTGGTTTGTAAGTGAATGAAGGATTCAAAGTCTTACATTAACCTTTAATATCAAAACTGAAATATCCTTTTACCTGAAGATTAAGACAGTCGGCATCACTTAACCAGACAACGAGAAATTCAAAGAAAACTCTCCCATAGCGATACTAAGCCTTTAGAACCCCATGAAAACTTATTTTAAACTAACAACACACACCTAATTAGAGATCGTCATTCAAGTGAAGAAGATAGTAGGAAATTCGTGTTCCTGCATCTCTTAAAACCTGGTGTTCCAAAGTAAAAGACTCATCACAAAAAACCTTGTTCGTCCAAAGCTAAGGATGCATTACACCGCTTCTGAACCAGTTGCAGACTTGACAGAACCTGTTCTGCATATCCTTACAAGGTTGAGTTGTGTGTTCAGTTCAGAAGAATGTATGCTCACAGGAATGTACAAAGTAGAATAAACAGAACTTTGCTTACGAGAGAATAAGAAAGAATTCTTTGATAAGGAGCTTAAGCGGGAATGCTTTATTTTGCAAAACAAGTCGAAATGATTCACGATACCTTCTTCTTATTCTTACATTGGAACTGAGTCTGTTTGAAACAGTTGTTAGGCAATTTAATAACTGTACATGAATGTAACAATTTTTAAGAAATGCGACGTTATACTGTGAAAAAAAGGAACCAGCCGTGGCTTACTTCAAGATATCTGGGATTTATTATGGTTGACTTGATTCTTAGGATACGAAACGAAGCTGTTACAACAGCGACGACTATAAAGCGTCGAATCAACTGATAATATTATCGTAAATGTTGCTGAAGAGGCCTTGTAAGAATACCAATGTTTATCTCAAGAAATACGTAGGTACATTTGCACAGGAAGACTGAAGACAGACGATAAACCTAGAATGAGATTTTACCGGGGTACACCGTCCCGAAAACCTCATATCTCAAAATAATGTTCTTGTTAGATATTTTATTTTTAGACGTAATCTCTTCGCAGTCATGGTCTTTCCATTAAGCATTTAACAACCGACACCTTTTCCATTTTCCACTGACCGTTAAATAAAATCAAAAATATCAAACAGCCATAAATGCTATCTCACAAGGCATGAGATAACTTAAATAGCATTTTCACGGCAATTGTAACAACACACATGATCAAATGTTCTCCAGCGAAGCTCATAATCTCTTGAGAGTGTTACCATGGTAACAGTTGTCAAGACGCAGAAAGGATAAGTGTTTTTCAAGGTCCAGAAACCCTTAGCAGTATTACCATAGAAACGGCAAAATTATCATGACACTTAAGTATATTTATTAGTTTCAAGTAAGACTGGGCATTCTTGTTCCATCAGTAACAGTACTTGGAGAAGCCTGTTTTTCTTTTCCTCGTGTTAGCATCTCGCGCATTCCTCTGCAGGACACCCGTATTTGGCAGGCGACCTTCACCTGTCGTGCCCCCCTTTTAGAATTTGGCATAGTCTCTGAATCACTGTTCATCCATTTAGAAACATTATTACGTAAATGGGATTAAGTCCAATTGGCTCCACGTAAATGTCACGTTTACTAACACTTTTAATACTGTTACTTAATTAAATAAACCTTATCTTTTTAGTATACTCCGATGGTGACGTATAATTTACGTATAACAATAATATTTCCTTATTCATTTAAACAAAAAAATGCCTTTTATACATAAAAACTTATAAAAATATAAGAATTTCTACGTTACCATATGCCCGGAGTCTAAAAATATCATATAAAAATTTCTCATCACTTTCAATCTGACGGTATAACCACCATGGTCTATCCCGTCTACCATCCGTGTCGACTCGACGTCATTCGTCTGCTAAATTGGTTTTTCTATCAACCGACAGTAACTGCTGTGGTGGATGATTTACCCTGATATTTTAGCGTTCCCCTTACCCGGAAACTGATAGGTTAGGTCATATATCCAACACCGAATTAACACGTTAGTCTTAAGAGAGTAGTAATTTGTTTCGAACCAGTGCACTAATTGGACTCACAGAGGGAGAGATCCGCATTTAGGAGTGCGGCGCCTGGGTGCGAGATTTAATTAATGTTTTAGTTTCCTAAGCGTCAAACATTCGTCCAGACATACTAATATGGCGTGTGAACTTAATAAGTGGCAATAGCAAACATCCGTTTATCATCCGATGTGAAACATCTTAACTTCTTTTAGGAGATGAATGTTTGTATCCGTTCACGAACTGAATTACAAATATCAAATCTAAAACTTCTTGGCGATGGTGAAGAGTCAATTGAATAAATATTTCCTTGGATATTATCCATCGTCTAGTAAAATATAAAATATAAAACGTAAAACGACGTTTCGGAGATGATTACAAATATTTAAGACGCAATTATGGACAGCACCGTCGTTCTCCACCTTTTATGAAACCCGAAACTTCACTGCCTTCTAAACGTGAGTCCGCCACCGGTCCCTACCCTGAGCCATATGAATCCAATTCACACCGCAATAGGCAGAACATGTATAAAACCTGAGCAAATTCAAACTTCCACGCAAAAATATTTAAATTATCATACCAATGGAATAGATTTCATCATGAAAAGCCACAAGATGAAGCATAGATACGTTTTCGGATATCGATTTGGAAGCGACCTCACTTTTTCTACGACGTAACTAATTACGCATTTGTGACATCTACCGGAATTCGCACTCAACACACAACAGAGGAATGAGAGAATAATTCCCGCATTATTTTGCCACTGTCCATATAAAACCATCATCCACGAAACAAAAATTATCCTACGTAATGTAATCCGTCAATAAATCTAACCAAGATCGCTAAAAAGAGCCCTTCATACATGGCCAGACGGCTATATTACTAACAGCCCTGCGGTGCACTGAATAATTTAGTGAACTCCTGATATGAAAATATTATTTGAATTTCGACCGAAGAACAGTGATGTAATTCAGCACAAGGATTAAATCAAAATCTGCCCCACCGAGCGTAATTGTTTCTTCAAACTCTGTACGTCGACTTTGCATAAGAATCCAAATGTTTCTATCTGCTCATTCTTTCATTTCGTCTTCCCCCATCTTATTTATTACTAAACATTTTATTATTTAGAGACTTCAATATACTTATTAAAATAAGTGTTCACAATAAAGAGAACGTATGATTTAACAGGATGTACGAAGACCACCATTTACGAGGTCCTCGGTGGATCTCCTCTTAAAACTTCAACAGAAGGTGTTCGTTCATTAGTTTATTCGTCTCCCAATGTCGAAATGACCTTGTAAACCTTAGTTTGGCATGGTCAAGACCACTCCAATGTTTATGAGACCAGTACGACATAAAATATATGAT